GATGCATATATTTATCATAAATATTTCAAATCTTGTTGGTATGAATATTAAGATAGGTACACAAAGGTTGGTGTTGGAGGGGAAACAACTTCACCAATTAGAAACAATTTGAAGGTTTCCCAAGGACAAGCTTCTATCCTAAAACAAGCACTTTCGAGAGATAACATGAGCCTTCACCTTTCGCTATAATGCCCTTGTGAAATGAGCATAGAAATGTAATTGTGAAAATATTCCTTCAAGTATTTTTGTAACTAACAATTCTAGGTTTGAAGCAAAAAGAATAAAGGATGATGACACAAGGTATGTCCAACCAATTATCATGCAACATTTAATCACATCCATCCAAATTTGATTTTGCATTTGCATAATTCAAGTATGGGGGATGAACTTCTCTGAAAAATCTTATGCCATGTTGCTAATTCATCTTGGTTGTCTCTACCTTTAAGCCATGCTCAATTTGCTAAATAACAACCATACTCTTTCATCTCTAATTGAATAAATCTCTATAATGCTTTTATGCTACCTTTTTTTACTATAGTTTGTTCAATGTTTGGAGTTTGTTCATACATCTTATAAATTAAGTATGATGCTTAGTTTAGGAGTGTTGATCTTACTTTCAAAGGCTTTTTAAATTAAGTGTGGTGCTTAGGTTAAAATACTTTCCTAGATTGAATTAGACATGGTGTCTAGTTTGATTTTTGAACCAAGAATATGCTATAGTAGATACTGATCATTTTGTTAGACTAACCCCATGCAGGAAACTCTTAATTCAATATTGATAAGTCATGAGATGAATTCAAATCGAAGATGAAGTCAGGCACATAACGAACTCTAATAACATTGCGCAAAGAAGACACAGCTCATTCATCATGATGGAAGAAATGTAAGTATTAAAGTTCATTCACTTTGCCTTCTACTGCAAGTTACCTTTGCCTTGAGCCATGCTTGTATAAAACATGATAAACAAAATCTATGCTAAAGCAATCCTAAAACCATCTTTTCATTAGCATAGATGTAATTCATAAAATTTATGGATAACAATCCATAGTTCAAATTTATTGTATTCCCTCGAGTATGTCTCCACTAACATTTTGTAGGGATGAATGAATACAAGCTACGCTTGTCCATGGTTTGGCATGAATACGCAAACCCAACCACCACTGCAGATATGGAGCAAAGAGGATGAGTGCCTTAAAACACGATCAATAATCAAAGCGCTCACTCATAGAAAGTGGACGAGCAAATCAATAGATCTGAGGCATACAATAATGAATAAGTGGAGTGGAAGGTCCAACAAGATGTCAAGATCAAAGAGTAAAAAGATGGCATAGAAAAAGAATGAGAAAGAAATGGTGCAATTTAGGAAACAAAAAGCTCATGAACGACTAGTCGAACAAGGAAAACTTCAAGAAAATGAGAAAGACCATCACGAGTCACTTACTCTTCATCATATGGTGTCATCACGCTCCAATGATAAAGGACACACTTCAAGTAAAGTATGGGAGAGTCAGTTGATTCTCCAAATTTCTATAAGTGTTCTGAACCTGTCAAACCAAAGTCCAAACTCAAAACCAAGACGGGTTTGGCGGAAGGAGGTGACATCACCATTAAAGGCGTCATCACAAGAATCCTCCTCTTCAGAGCAAACCGAGGTATTTGATCAATAAATTTCACAAGGAGAAGTCCGGTTCGAAGAACTTACAACACCGAACCCTCACCAAAAGAGCTAGCTTAGAGAGAAGCACTCACGTGTATCCAGATAAATATTTTTCCCCTTTTGTTTAAGTTTTAGTTTCTTTTAATAGTTAAAATAATGATGAATTAAAAACAAAATAAAAATTTATCTTTGCATTAGTCATTTATAGTAATAATGTGTGATCTAGTAAAATTTAAAATAAAATAAAAAGAGTGTGTATCTAGGTTGCTTTAATTTGAGAGCTGAATAAATTAAAGAGGACACAAAATAATCTCTTAAATGAAAATAATGAATAGTTGCTATATTATAATTCCTTTCAAGTATCTAGTTTTCAGCCTTGAATTATTCCGAGTTTTGGATACGACTGTTTTGATATAAGGATTTACTTTGAACTTGAAACTCATGGGTAGCATATGCTTGATCTAAGTCTAGGTAATTGACGGATATGATATGAGAAGGTATGAGGTACTGTTTATCTTGTTCCAAGTGATACTAAACTTCTCGAGATTTACTTTCTAAAAACACAAAAATGCTATATGATGAGTTCCTATATGACAAAGCTTGAATTCCTACAGAGTCATACATGTTATGTAGGCTAGGAAAACTTCCACATATATGCTGCTTGCTTTTGCATTGAGTTTTGTCAAACTTTGTTGACCCTTATGAGAAATTTGTCATGCTCTTAAAATCAAGATCACGTTCACACCACCCAGATATGCACTACTCCTACACTGGGGGTAGGCGTAAAAACATGCCTTCCATTTAGATCCACCCAAAAATATTTTACTCCTACACTAGGAGTGAATACAAAAATATGTTTGATAGGTTTTGCATCCACTCAAAATAAATGCTCCAAAGTTCTTGTTGATATCTCTCTCAAAGTTTTGTTGCGAAAAAGAGACATGTGCTATGCAAAAGTTATTCATAAAAAAAAAAGAGAAAAAAGAGTTGAGAAAAAAATAGACAAGTGTCCGAGATATAAAAAACAATAGGTACTTAGATGTCCGTCTGATGAAAAAAGAAAGAGATGAATAAGATAGCTCATGTTCTCTTGCAAAATTATTTCTAAATTTCAAAAGAGAGATAAGCTTTCAAGGGGTAAAGTAGAATTAGGTTAGCCACCATATATATTCACTATTTATCCACACACATGCACATCTTGATTTGATTGTATGACTCAACTCTCTTTGGATCCTTTATTTGACTTTACAATATATGCATTGCAAGTATGCTCTAGTTTTCTCCCTACACATAAACTCCACATAAGCCTTAATAGTAGGAAAAAAAAAGGCATAACATCTTTATTGCCTTGATGAGGATCCGCAAATACCACATATATTGAGAGACTTGAGAGTGTCATACAATGGAATCTCTGAGTTTTATTTTGAAAACTTATAAAAACTCCGGAATAATGGTGAAACAAAGAACTTGAGACATTGTACTTGACTTGATTATTCTGTCTTTCAATTGCTCAAAATCCATGTGAAGACTAAGAAGCTCTATGGTTAAAGGTAATATGGGTAAGTTTGAAAGTTAGATCAGTTTATTCTAATTCGGAGGAGAATTTTTGATTGAACGTATATGTACTTTTGAGGCATGAAAGCATTGTAACAACTCTTGATCTGTTGCTGAGTTTAGCTTTGCTCAGGGACTAGCAAAGGTTAAGCTTGGAGGAGCTTGCTGATGGTCACTAACACCAATTATAAACCATCAACATAACCTGCATTTATATTTAATTCCATCACCAAACATAGGTATAGAGGTCTAAACTAATGAATTCCACGAGCTTTGATGATTTCATGACTGCAGGAGGATTTATCTAGAAAATAGCTCCCGAGACCACGGTCATACACTTTAAACAAGCAAACCGACGACAACAAGTGATTCAACCCGTGAAAACTATGAAAGACAACTCTAGAAGATTGCAGAAGATACCACGCTAAAGCTTGGGTTAAACGGCCACGAAAGTGGGCCGGCCGACCCAGCCCATAGGGCGGCCGGCCTGCCATGGAGCCCACTCGCCCTCCGCTACCTCGTACTCGTTCTTAAGATCTACACCGTTGATTTTAAGGTACTTTTAGGTCAATTTATCCAATGGTGATCGAGGGAGTTGACGTGGATCGATGATGTGGCGATTCCTTGCCCCCTACTCCACCTCACCCTATATATAGCAGCCCCTACCCCTCTCCCTATAGTTATCCTGAAACCCTAATTCATATTCTCCTCGTCAGGATAGAGCCAGTTATCAAGAGAAGATTAGTCATCCATAGGATCTAGTCTTGTAAATAATAGTGAGATAGAATGTGAGGAAAGAGTTTGGAGGAAGTGCCGGCCTGTCGGTGCTCTCTCTACGGCTTGTACCCTGGCGGAATCAAGTTCTACTTGAGCTTGCTTCTTAGGATTCTTTGATAATCAACTTCTAATTCAAGTAAGCATCGTGTTTATATTACCCATCAGGTTCACAACTCTTTTGAGTACTTTAATCTTTAGGATGCTTAGGTTAAAGTAGTAATTGTAGGTGTAAGCGTGGTGTTTAGACCAAGTTATTTGTGGATGTATCCTACATTCTGGATTGGTGGTAGCTCGTGAGGGTGACTCTTATAGCCTCGTTGAATTTTTGTAGTCCATCTCCCATTTGTAGAGCTAGTAGAATTTAGTTACTATACGAAACATACTCTACTTGTGCTTTCCCTTAGTAATATCCTCAGTTGAACAATAGAAGACATAGTTTATCGAAGTTAGAACTAGAAGACCTTTGTGATCTTCTCTATACTCCTATTATCTTAAGTCTTGTTGCTACTTTGGGTTAAGTTAGAAATAGTTATCTCACACGTTTCCATGTGGATATGATAATTGGAATACTTCTAGGTGAAAACTACAGTGGTATTCATGTGTTTAAGATTTATCTGTGTGCGTTAAATATATCAACACCTACCACTGAAAGAATAACAACCGTTAAATTTTAGAATAAATCAAGAAAATACGAGCACATTTATTAAGTCAAAGATTTGAACTTGGATTGACAGGAACCAATAATGGAGAGAGTATATAATTGTATATGCTAGTCAGCTGGTATATCCTAGCCGGTGAATCCATTCATTCTAGGTCTTGTTTGGATACATATATATTCATCTTAATCCATGTGAATTAAAATGAATTGGTATGGAATTAAACTAAATTATATTCTATTTCACTACAACACACGTAGATTGAAGTAGATATAAATGACCCTAACAAGACCCTAAGTGTAAAAAATAACCAGAGCCGACGATACAACACATCAACTGTACAACTTAAAAGTTTTTCATAGAACCTCCTCCGTATCATTTACTATGACCTGCAATCCTGCACTCGAGCTATTTGCTACTTGAGGTAGAACGGCGGCGAAGGACGACTTGTGCAATGCCAACACCATCAGAAGCGCCACTACCGCCGCGACAGCCCACGGCGACGTGCCGCTGCTGCCGCGGTCCGTGTCCGACGACGCGCCACCTTCAGACTGGCCCCACCACCAGGACGCGCCCCGCGCGACGACGAGCCTACCGTCGGCGTCAAACAGCGCGTGGTGCGCGAGCACGACCAGCGCGAGGAGGCCGAGCAGCAGGAGCACGCAGAACCCGTCCTGCGTGCGCCTGCGCAGCTGCTCCTCGTACTCGTCGATCTGCCATGTCAGGTAGAGGAAGAAGGCGACGATGCTCGAAAGGACCAGCACCAGCCCCGTCGGCATGCCGCCGCCGTCCAGCCACCCGTGATGCCATCTCAGGTCTCCTGTCGTCGTCTCGTCCATGGAGAGATGGAGACGTGTGACCGTGGACAGCCCGTGGATGATGTGTTAGCCTAGAAATCGTTGTCATCCGTGCTGTGATGTGAGCTTGGCGCCTGGTTTTATAAGCTAGTGGTGGTGCCTGTAGCTTAACTAGGTGTGACTAGATTGGAAGCGTGTAGATGCATGCCGAAATGCCACTGCGTGCCCTTTATTTGTGGGAGTGGGCACGTGATGGCAGCGGCGCTCTCTGGATCACTCGGGCAACAGGCTTCTAGATGCTATTCCGGCCACATAGTCATCATCTACAGTAGCTAAACGATGTCACGCGACCTCACGTCCTCACGCGATCTGTTTCAGGCCTCTCACCGTCCAGGTTTGTTACTCACTTGTCTGAATCGAAGAGGTACTAGAAAGACCGGCGCGGCTTTGCGGCGCCCATCTTTGTCAGGGACTGCTGTAGCAGTGTAGCCTGTATCAACCATAAATGGTCTGTCGCACATTAAGCAGCTGCCTGCGCGGATCCAGCGCGGAGAGGCAGTGATGGGGATACGCCTCTTGCCTCCTGTCCCTCGCCCCGCACCAGATGCTCGGATGAGTCGGCGAGATGACAAACTGCACCCACATGACGCTCACACACAGACATACGTGCTCCATCGCGTTGCCGACCTTCCTCTGCATGGAGGCCATCGAAATGTGGTGAGTTCATCCATCAAATCGTTAGGCTCCCTCCGCCCCCCACCCCACCCACCCACCAATCCTCTCATATTTGTTGGATTCAATGATGTGTTTGTGCAAAAATCAGAGGCAGGAATGCAGGTGTTGTGTATTATACTTGCTCTGATTTGAGAGTTGAGGAGGATGTTGATCGGTCGACGGACGCCCAGGATGGCTTGCGAAATCAGGAGCAGGTGCTGCCAAATTGAAGGAGGATGCAAATGCCAATTTTGCGTTGCATGTGGGAAAGAACAGCAATGTGCTGCTACCTCTAGGTAAGCTACAGCTACTTACACCCCAACATTTGAAATATCCTTCCATAAGTAAAATACTCACTAATTTATATGTCGATTTGCTTTCTGTTGTTTGGTCCTGATCCAGGCTCATAACTTAGCTGGTGAAAAAAAAAATTCATGCTCTGTATTAGTCCAGGCAAATGAGCATGTCATACAATAAATAAATACTACTGAAGCACCCGAAGACAATTTGATAGTTTTTAGACCTAAAGTAACTAATTTGTTAAAGCATAATATGTCATGCTAAGGGCCTCGTTTGAGCCATGTGTGGCTTAGTACTCTTTTGTTGTTGTTAGATGAAGCTTTCCAATTTTGCTTTACAGAAAACAGTTTATCCAAATGTCACCAAGGCGTTTCAAACATTGATGGTAATTTGTTGAAGCTGATAGTTCAGCCAAAGATAAGAAAAGCCTAGATCATGTTTTTTCGCAGGCTAGAAATTGTACAGTCAAATTGTTTTCAAATTACAAATTCAAAGAGTTGTACAAGTATAGACAATCAAACTGTTTTCATGTTATTAAACAAACTAATAGTTTTTTTACTGTTTTCAAATTTTAACATGCTATTACGTTTTCCTCTAATAGTTTACTGCATTTTAACATGCTATTCCCGATTCTATATTTCAAAACCTACACTTCTACATGTTGATTAGTTTATCGTTTGTTTCAGATAGCTTACAGGCCCCGACAGATTTTTTTAGTCTAAAATAGTTCCATATCTCAAGCTACTATTGAAGTCAAGGCATCAGACATCATTCACTTCACCTCTCATGGAACGACCTACAAGATAAGAAATATATATGTCCATGCCTGAACGATTGAACTCAATACTGTTTGGTTCCAATGATGTTGCAATCAAAGCTTACCATAGTGCTTCACAAAATTCATCTCTCATAGTGATCGGTGTTCCTGTAGCCAATTTTATTTTTGCAAGATCGAAAAATGCAGGTTGAAGATCCAATTTTATAATCAAAAGCTATTTTTGAGCTCTATTTTGCATAATCTGAAAAGGGACAAAACCAAATGAACAAGTACTCCCTCCATTCCAAATTATAATCAAATTTTCTTGGAGAGCTAAAGCATCTCAAGTTTGATAAAAATTATTTAGAAAATTAAACAACAAGCAATTTGGATCCCCAAACGATCAAGCAGGAATACAAAGACGATCGGCAATCCACCCTTTCAGTTTGGCAAAGGAAAGATAAGGTCTAATAACTCATATGTTATATTTTCCATGAGCAATTTTCTACCTGTTATTGGATGCGTCTTAAGATGGACTTGAGAAATTCATTGTTCATTATCTGACAGTTCTAACAAGTAGTACCGGTTTGTGGTGATGTGGTGAAATTTTTATTTTTAATCAATCATCAAATACATGCTGAGGACACTTAAAAAGATGCATAATGTTGTTGAAAAACACCGATTTCATCTTCAATCTGTGGATAGGGAGAATTCACTGGACCAACACCACTGCGTCATGGTCTTCAAGAATATATGCAAGAACTATTTTCTCATTTATAAAACAATTAATCTTAGACTGAAGTCAGAAACATAATAGCATTCTCATGCTAATTAAAATAGGCTTACACTCAATAGAAAAATGTCAATAGTTGCTAATTTTTGTAGTAAGCAAAACTATAATGCAGCCTTGCAAGCTGAAGACACCTCTAAAACTTAATTATGAACAGGCATCACCGGTATACCAATAAACAATGCATTTTATTATTACATTGCTTTTCTATACAACAGTAGTACTCTTCATGGCTTTTATATTGAAGACACAAAAACATGAGGGGCATTAAGACACGCAGGAAACTTTTCAGGGATTCAGTTGCTGGCAAGGGTTTCCTTTTATCTCATTCCGATGATGGTTCATGGTAATTGATTTAGTTCAAGGGGTGTTTGGAACACGAGTATTCCTATCACAGGAATCATAACACATGCAAGTTATAACAAATCATTAGCGCTTAATGATATATTTATTAACCTATTATTTTCCTTCCTGTCCAGCGCTATGGTTCCGAAGCCCAACCTTCCAATCGACATAAATAAAATCACATAACGTTACCTTCATATTAATGTTAGTCGACTGCAGACAGCCAAAGAACTATTACAAGCTTGCGGCACCGCGGCGATTAGCAAAGCTGTTAGCTTTCGATGCAATGAGAAAGCAGCAAGTGACCACAGGAAAGTTTTCCTTGGCTCAAAGCTCATTTTCAGATTTCTCCAGAAGTACAACTTCCTAAGCCTTTCCTCTGGAAAGTTTTGTATCACTTCCTACGTTCCAAACGGTGAGAGAGAAAGACTTTCCGAAGAAATTGCATTTCTTTACTTTTCCTCCAATTTTCCTTCGATCCAAACGCGCCCTAGGTGGGTGAAGTGCGTCAGTAATCTCGTGAACAATTTTTCTACAACTTCAAAACCCAAAAAAGGTTGCTCAGCTGAGAAATGCAGGTCCACACTCTGTATACCCAAAATAACAGGTAAACTTTAGATTCAGTAAAAAGCTATACTACCGCTGCGTCAGTATTGGTTGTTTTTCATTTAGGTAATATCGAAACGTGAGTTCTCTTCCTAGGATAGTCCAGTTACGGCTGTTTTAGGTCGACCTCTTTTGGCGCTCGACAGATGCGCGTTGTTTGTAAGTTCAAACTCTTCTTAAATGATACACAAATCTTTTGCGTATTCGAGAAAAAAAGTAAAAATCTATATCGGAAAAGATTTTTGTGCTTAGTAAGACAATTGTTGTATCTATATTACTTAGTTTCATATACCTTAGTCCTACTCCAAATGCATGAAGATTTTATATGTGGGTAAGGAATAGATAATCAATCAATCCTCGATGAGATCTTACCTTGTACTGCTGTACGCGAAAGGATGTCTGGGAAGACATGGCCTGCTTGTGGCGCTTTTCATCGAACAGAATGTGGGCAGGTACTCTGTGTTCAGACCTCCCACGCTAGAGGTCGGGAGCTGAGAACTGTTGGTGGTGGTGGTGGAGAGCTTGCCGAGCCAGCATCAGCATTACGGCCCCGCCTCATTCATTTGCGGCGCTACAGGAGGTCGCCTTTGGCGGAGCGCCGACACCGATGCATGTTTTGCTGCCGTGGTTGGATCACGGAGTTGTGCATGGCCAATAAAGATGGCGACCTCATCCCCATCGTGAGGTGCTTTGATGGTGGCTTCATGCAGCTCGAGCTTGCCGCTGCTGCGCGGTCGGATCAGGCAGGCTGCTTCGTGCGGCTCGAGCTCGCGGGTGTTACGCGCTGCCAGCCTGCCACCAGACCCTGGCGGCCGATAAAGGGACAACCATGGCTTCGACGTCTTTGACCGAGCCGCCCAGCCCATCAGCCGCGAACCCCTAGTTCGCTAGCCACCGTCGCAGAAGCGCGGCCATCCCCATTTCGCATCTTGTTTCTTCTCGGCGCAGCACGCGAGCAACACCGAGCCCGGCGCGCGGCCAGCTGGTGCGGGTGGAGGAACAGGCGGCAACGAAATCGGGTTCTGACGCATCCGACGAGGTGCGGAGAGTGCGGTAGCCGGCGGCGCGTGAACAGGGCAGCTGGCGGCGCATGAGCATGAGCAAGGGCAGTTCAGTTGGAGGCGCAGCCACGCAGGGGAAGGCAGGTTCGCGAGAATTCGCGATGGTCGATGATCCAAGTTCGTAGCTTAGCGGATGAGAGAGCCTGAGATATGCCTCAAGTCACCCGTTCTTCACTGTGCCTGAGCGCTAACCAAACAAAATGAAGCAAGCCACACGCGCCTTTTTTGTGCGACCTGACCTAATAAGAGTAGCCTGATAAGCGCAGCCATCGACGGCAATCGAGAGAGATTTTGTTTAACCATAAGTTGGTCGATGTTGTATGATTTTGCAGAGATATGGTCAGAGTGGCTCTCAGTTTGCAGAGATGCTGAAAGGCAGTTGAGGTATGCATCATTCAGACAGCGATCTGAGTGAGACCGGCCGATGTATATTATCCAGAGATCACATGTTCACGTTCACATCACCCTGCTAATTTGAGCAGAGCTTCAGTTCAATGTCTTTCGTTAGCTAGTAGCAGGTGTACCCTGGTTCCAGCCACTGAGGAGTGAGGAGGATGTTCTGGAGAGGCGGCAAAGTCATCAGCGAAGTAAGCAAACTGAACTGAAGAATCATGAAAGGAACTCGTCAACAAAGTCCTAAGTCAATCTCATTTGTTCCGCTAAGAATATCGGTCAAAACCCTTTCAAATTGGGCATGTCATATATACATACAAATCATAATGCTGCTGGATGGCTATTAGGAAATGCAGTCTTTACAGAATAACCTGAAAGTAATTTTCCATCATAAATAAGGGGAGGAGGGCCACGGTTGTACGTTTGGTTTAGAACTATTATTATTTGCAGGTTTTTTTTTTGGAAAGAAACTTATTATTTGCTGGTATTAGAAAAACCCCAAAGCTCTTTGTGAGTGTGTATAAGTAGAGCCCCTGGACATGCAAGTATATTTTTCCATTTTTTTCCGTTAAAAATCTTGAATCGGAACATCATTACAACTTTATTATAGCCATATAATAATTGATAAAAGGTGGGACGCAAAATTGCACATATGGAATAAATAGTCTAGGTTCATCCGTCCATGTGTATTTACTCCATACTAATACTGTCATATTGACATGATTGATCAATCTGAAGGGCTCAAAACACTGTGGTAAGAAAAATTCTGAAGATTTACTGCACACCAACCCTACTCTACATATGTCTGTTGATCTACAAACACTCCAAACTATGAACAGTATACACTTCAAACTATGAACAGTATATATATTGTGATTATATATATGGTTCATCAAAATGCTGCCCTCGCTGCACTGCGTGCTGCTTCCCGCCTTATCTCTGCTTCTTTCCCGCTTCCTCGGAAGTACAGGTAAACACGCTGCAGGATGCAAAGCTTACAGTTCAGAACCAATTGAAGGTATCAAGAGATGAATAGAAAAGCAGTAGGTAGTAACTTCACCTGAATGACCCACATGCTTAACAAAGACTCCAGGCAGAACAATGCAAAGCCAATGAAGTAGAAGATCTGCAGGTCAAAATAGTTTAACATGCAACAGAGTTCTTGTTGTGCCCAGAAATCATGTTATGCGAGACATGAATTTATTTTTGATGTATGTTCATTTGTCTTTGCAGGAAATATAGGTACTATGCAGTGGAATTCTGATTTACTGGATTCAGACTGGGCAATAGCGGTAAACTCACTCACCCCAACAATGACGCTGTCACCAATCAAGCTGATTGCTGGAAAAATCCCGCTGCACGGCGAGTAGACAGGTGGAAGAAAATTACATTACAATTCACAGGACTTTTCAAGAAAGAAAGATGTTGGAACAATAGCGAAAAGTGTAAAAGAATGTATAACTCACGTTAATGATTTTCCCACAAAGAGAATTGAAGGAGAAACAGCTGCATACACACAGAAGGCGATATGAACCTGTGTGTGGGGTCAGCATGAGCATGTGAGATGCATAGGCTTATCGGTAACACATTCTAATACAGCAATGTTACCGAAAGCTCACCAAGTAGAAGAGGAAAAACCATCCAAATTTAAGAGCACTCTCATTCCTGTACACATGTGTTGTAGACAGAAACTATATGAGGCTATGCAATGCTTAATATGTCTTCAAAGTTTAAACCCATTAAATGAAATATTAGGCCCCCTTTGGAACGCGGGATTCTTTTCCCGTTCCTGCGTTTTTTCTGCGAAAAATGAACTGAATCCTGTGAAATTCCTGTAAATTTCTGTAAAATTGCGTTCCAAAAGGGCCCTTATTTATAGGGAGGAAACAACTTATGGGTAACATTGAATTTACCTCATGGCACGGTACAGTGTCCGGTACCAAAGGTAGTAGGCACCAGGGCATCCAAGAATGAAGTATATGATTGCAAGAAACCATATCTTAGGACCTGCATCAAGGAACAAAATAGCACACCTTTTTTAGATAATAATAAAATTAAATTGCCCTCGCCTCTGCATCAACAGATGCACATGGCTGTTATACACGTCGGTTATGAGCGCATGAGTAGAAAGAGCAATGTTTTATCGGCATACCTGACCCTTTTGCCCAGGCAGCGGTAACACAGATTATGTTCCAAAACAGGCATAAGACCAACCCTATCAGACATATATGATATATCAGGATACACATTAATTTAACTTTTTTGTATTATAATGAAGGTATCCTTATTGCGTGGAGACAACATGAAGCACAGGCAAGTACTAAGAAAACGTACCTAAGAGTGACGCAAATGCGACATACAGTGTTCTTTGCAGATGAACAGGTATCTCATTGCCAATACCATTATGAATGATGGGGAAAAATGGTGGCCAATTCTTCTCTTCCAATACAATGCCAGCTGCAAGAGAACATGGATAACGATGCTATTATTGTTAATGAAAGGAAGTCTTTGCGAATGACATCAAAAAATAGCAAAGCGACGTCAGATGATGAACTCTGAAACTCCACCTCGTGCTGCAGCATCTTCTCGCCTTTTTATTTCCTACATGGAGCAGAGCTAGGTTTAACAGAGAAATCAACAATCTGGGGCAATATACAAGGTACGCAATAGTTTCTACTAAAGTTTTGCGCCATAGTATGTTAGACCAAAGACCATTTCCACAAAATCATCAAGAACAGCATGCTGATGCCAGCTATTCCAGTGTCTGTATTGGATCCAGTTACCTTCTCACGCCTGTTCAACTCGGCCTCCTTGGCCAGGAGCTCCTTCTCCCTTGTCTTCATGTCCTATGTGCATGGACAACCAAGCAAGAAGGATTACCATGTTACAAGAATTACGTCGATAACATCCATCTAGTGGCATGAATAGTCGCAACTACCTTGTTTGTGTCCATGGGGATATCCACTGGGGTAGCAAAGTCATTGTAGAAGTCAGCAGGTTCAGGAGGAAGAGGCGAAAGGCGTGTGCTAGGAGGAGCAGAAGGGCGTTGTGATTGCTGCGTGAACGCAATGTTGTATTCGCATGATCATCCAGCTAAAGCATTTTATTTTACTTTTTTGTCACTGAAACATTCCGTGCATTGCAGACTCACCGTCGTGTAGAACGCGCCACCGGAATAGCTGGACTGAGCAGTTGATCCTCCTCTTTTAGCTTGGTCCTGGAGAATAGAGCAGCATGAGTGCAGAATTGCAATTAACCTAATTCCTGTTGTTCCTGAAAACACCTCACTACCGAAAAGAAAAATGAACTGCTTTATTTATGGCATAGATGCTTATTTTCTCATAATCGAGAATGTGTTAGCATGCATCATATGCAACCTTCATTTCTTTTAAATTTTGTTGTCATTAGCAGCACACAAGTACTCCTCTAACTTGTTTTTTTTTAAAAAAAATGGAACGCTAATAAGTACTTGGGCATACATAGTATGAAATTCAAGCAATTTTCATGGTCATGGGCTCATCATTATACAAGGAACAGTGCTAAACTTTTTCGCAGGAAACGTTAATAAGGACTTGAGCATACATAGTATGAACTCTAAGTCTGTAAGTACAAGGAACAGGGCTTGCAAGCAACTAGGAAGGCGCAGGGGGGCTATATCAGTATCAGTATATGGTTAACCTATTACCAGCAGTAAGCCGGTAACAGGATTTCCCTCGAATCCTTCACTCGGAAGTTTGAGAATAAATTTGAATTTTAAAGCCCACTTTTCCCCATCATCAGGTTGGTACATACAGTTCGAGAAAAAAAAATGATACAATAAAAACTCTATCGGTCTCCTAGGCCGGTGATTTAGCTCAGATCCCCTGCATGATCATGTTTGTGTAGAAAGTCCAACACAATTCAATTCAATTGCATAGATACAGAGTCTGTGATCGTCTATTCTCTGCAAGGAGATATCTTATGTCTTCTCTTCCTGTATTGTTCTCTGGCTTTCCTCTTCTGAAGAATACTGTTCTTTTTTCATTGCAACTGAACTTGCACAAAGTCTGATCACGGAAGCAGTCAAGCTCAGCAGCAAGGAATAAAAGCAACTCCGGACGGAGCAAACGAGCAGATACATACGCAGAAGCAATCAATCGAAGCAGGGGGAGGAAGAGCTGGACGGAGCTCAGCGCCGGCGCGAGTTGGGCCTGGGCAGGCTTACGGCTTACCGCGAAAGGGTTGACCTCGTCGGCGCCGCCCTCCTCGAAGGGGTTGTCGTACCGCGATCTCCCCGCCATGGATCCTTCCTCGTTCCTCCTGGCGGTTCCTTGCTCTGCTCTGCTCCGCTCCGCTCCGAGGTGAGCAGGGAGAGAGAGAGAGGAGGACCAGGACAGGGGCACTCGGGGCAGGGCAGCAGCAGAAGAGGAAGAGGCAGAGGACGCAGCAGCCCAGTTGGACCTCTGCTCCTTGTGTACGTACGTACGTACGTGTAGGGGTTGACGAAAATTTTAGCGGACTCCGCGTGGATTTGTCACCCATCCCCGGCCGTCAGCTTTTACCTTTAGTTTTCGCCGTCAAACACATCATCAGCCGTGGCAACGAATGGAAGAGGCACCGGTGGAGCTTTGGCTTTTGCCGCCCCAGCCACGCCATCCAGCCAGCGACGGCGTCGCCATGCCCCATGTCCTACTCCTACCTGCTCCCTCCTCCCGCGGCCTTCGGTGTATAACCGTCCCGACGTAAGCCGTGCCACGGAGCGAGGGCGTGTTTGGTTTCTCCTCGTCGCTGTCACATCGTGATATATATATAAATATTAAATATAGACTAATTACGAAACTAATTACGAGTTTACGACTAATTTACGAGATGAATCTTTTAAGCCTAATTAGTCTATAATTTGACAATGTAATACTACCGTAAATATATGCTAATAATGGATTAATTAGGCTTTATAAATTCATCTCATGGAGTACTGACGGCTTCTGTAATTTATTTTTTATTAATATCGAACACCCCATGCGACACCTCTTAAATTTTAGTCACTGGATCCAAACACCCATATACCTTTCGGTTCACACATGAGACATGACACATTTGCAACGTGTAAAAGTAAAACTCGCCAGATTACAGCGAAAAATGCTATGTGAGTTCACAATCACAAAAGAATATATAAAAATGAGCACAAGCAAGCAGTATGCTATCGTGCTTTGCCGAAAGGGCAAAAGTCCAGCATCCGGGGGCCACATGCAGGGCTGTCTTTCCATTTTCTCTGTTTCGCCTTTCGGGGGATTTCAGTTTCGTTTCAGATAAGAAAGGAACCCCACAAGGCAAAAACGGCAGCTACAGCTGCGCGCCTGGCGCTGCTGCAATTGACAAGTAGTGCGTGCACCCCGAAACTTGCTTCCTCCAACAACTGAAAATCAGCGTTCACTCGGTCACACCAAACTTAATTCACATATATGTTCATTCCTCTTCTCTCCCTCGTTCGGAACTACAGGGGAGAAGGCATCAGAACGGTGGCGCACGAGACCCGGCGTCAGGCCTCATCTGCGCCTCACTACCTTTCCCGCGGAAGAACCAGTACACTTTCTGCAAACCACAAAAACAAACATTTGCAGAACAGAACACATCAATTTCACTTGTCGGAGGAATGTTTTCAAGTAGGAGTATACATGTATGCTGTATATCCCTACCTGGAAAACCCAGATGCTCAGCAGTGCCTCCAGCACAAACATCGCGAAGCCCATGAAGTACATTATCTGAAAGCAAAAGTACTTGTGAGCAACGAAAGGTATCAGTGGTATTTGAGACTCGATGGAAATGGTTGCCGCAAAAGTTATTGCCTAATCACTCCCTGCACCTATAGCCCCAGTCTGAAGAACAAGTCACATGAAAAGCATTCACAAAATCATGCCAATGGTTCAGGTTCCAGCAGTAACTTGAAGGAGTAGGTAACTAGTTCTGCTCAAGCCATTTTATGGGATGGACAACAGTGGTAAAGCAAGCTTGATATTTTGTTACACTAGCTAAGCATAGAACTATTGACAGAGGGAACTGGAGTGGCAACGATTTGATTCTGATTTATGTCTAGATTAACTGGAGTGGTAACGATTTGATTCTGATTTATGTCTAGATTTGATAGAAGGTAAGACAACTGATCATTTCTAATTCCTCGTATTTCCATGGTACATATATTGACATAGTATCAACTCACCCCAACACCAGCATTCTCGCCTATCTCGCTGATCGATTGAAAAATTCCGCTGCAAATAATAAGATAAGACAAATGAAGCAAATTATAGTTCTGAATAGCAAGATAATGCACACGAGAAAGCTAATAAATTAGCAAGCTTATCACACTGAGTTATAAAACTGGATACAACAAAGCAACCTTTACTTATATTCAACATATTCTAAGAAAAGCCCCAATTTTACAACAATTACTTCATAGACACATGTAGTTGTAAAATAAAAAACATGTAAAATTGAGTGTCTATGTGAAAAGAGCTTATGCTATCAAAAGACTTACGCCAATGATCTTCCCACATAAAAGAATGGCGGAGAAACAGCAGCGTATATGCAGAAGGCAATGTGAAACTGCAGAGACAATACCAAGTTATGAGCAGATTTTCTACTCCATGGAACAACAAGGAGACCATACAAGGAATCTTGTTTTATAACAGAAATCTTACAAAGTAGAATAGGAAGAACCATCCATAGCTGAACGCACTATCCTTCCTGGTGAAAGCATTATAATATCAGGTGAATCATATGGTTTAAATGATGTACTTCATACAGAAACTTTGTACAATAGTTTTGGAAGCTCAGTTGGAATATAGTACCTCATGGCACGATAAAGAGGTCGGTACCATAAAAAGTAGGCACCTGGGCATCCAGTAATGAAGTATATGACTGCCAGAAACCAGATCCTAGGATCTGCATGGAAGAACATTCATACTAACTAAATAACAGAAATAACAAATTTAAATATTATGATTATTAGGAGCACATAAAATAAAAAATATTTTTTTATGAACAGACCATGCCCTGTAATCCAAGCAGCAGTTACACATAAAATGTTCCAGAAGAGGCATATGACCAATCCTGCATGAGAATTTTGCAAAAAGTATTAGTTACAATACTTTTGAAAGCCAGTAATCCTTAAAAAGGGCAGTTTTTAATTAATCAGCGCATTTCCTAGCTTCATACCTAGGAGTGATGCAAAAGAGACATACTGTACTCGCTGCAAGTGCACGGGTATATCATTTGAAATGTCAACATGAATGATGGGGAAGAACGGTGGCCAGTTTTTGGGTTCTATTAAAACTCCAGCTGCATGTAAAAGAGGGATGATAATATAAATCATGGGTCATTTCCGAAGAAAAATGGTACACGCAAAAAAAATAAAATTAAGGTTACCTCTTCCAAGAGCTTCTTCCCTTCTTTTTATTTCCTAGAGAAAGGAACAAAAAGTTACACAATATAATAAATGCTAAAGTTCAAAACTGTGTAAAGTTAGTTGCATACTTTATAAAACAATAACAGTAAATGGCAGATCATATACTCGACTTAACTAGTATATACCTGTTCCCTCCTGTTTAGCTCAGCCTCTTTAGCCATAAGTTCTCTCTCCTTTTTCTTGAGGTCCTGGATTGTGTAGACAAACTCACAAAAGGATCTGATATACCGATATTGAAAGAAAGAAACATAGAAAAAAACTGCTAAGGGAAAAGGAAAACTAATCTCTAATCCCTCCTCTTTAGCCTGAACCCAACTCCTAGCCTTTTTATCAGCCTTCCAAATAGTTGTCTGTTTTACAACTGCTTCCCAAATAGAATTATTTAGAATATTATGGAGTTTTCTATCACATTCCTACAGAGTATAGACACTTGCATGGTGGTTTTTCTTTTCTGCAATACCACGACATAGCAGTGACTTCGTTGGACACATATAAGAACCAACCATGGGTTCAATCAAAAGAAAGATAGCAAACTTTTTTGTTAGCTTACAGTGGAAACATGGAATGATGGGAACCGAACATCAGGTGGACATACATGTGTAATTTTGATGCTTTGCATAATGATTGAAAGATAGTACCAAATCAATGAAAAAGGCTAAAATAGTAGTAAATGATAGGTAACCAAGCAATTCAAGCAGTCAAACTACCTTTTTGTTATCAAGTGGGATATCTACAGATGCACCAATATCATTGTAGAAACCAGCTGGTTCAGGAGGGAGCAGAGTTGGGCGTGGATGCTACATGAGCAAAAAGATATGATCCTTAGACAGTAATGATGAGCCAAAGCAAAGATAATGAAACACACATAAATAATTTTGGTTCCATAATAAATTTTTAAATTTTGATTCAGAGCTTGGCAAGTGTGTCCGCAATCCGCAAGCCTATGTGCTATTCACAACATATTTTCGTCTTTTGTTTTGCCAAGGCATAACACAAATGAGTAAGATTTGTAGAAGTACAGTTTTATGGTGTCAGTCTGTCCCGTGTTTCATTGATTGCTATGATACGTTTTGTATTGCAAGTCTGTAATAAGTTGATACATCAACGAAATAAATGGGCTAAAGAATCATACGATAGAACAAACCACAGCATGGAAAACATATGGGTACACTGTATATAGATTCCCTAGTATCCAAAGCAACATCAGACCAAGTTTAAGAAATTTTATTTCTTATACAATAGTAGATAAGTGAGTTAAGCGGAAACTAAGCTGGGTTCAAAGATGTAGAGGATCGTGAGAAATCAGGCAATCTCCGGAAGAAACGCCCAATCATGTGAAGAGCAGGAAGAACATAACAGGTAACAGCTAAGATAATCGCGCAATTTGTTAATGGGCATTTTGTTACTCCGTGCAATGTTCAGGTATATTACAGCCAAGCCAAAAGACCCAATCCGACCTGGAAGTGGAGAAAGCATAGTGGATACATCATACGTGACGAGGTTCTTCTAATCAATACCGAATCCCGCAAACGAAGTACCTCCGGCACGGCGAGAGGCCACCGCTGTGCGCTGTTGCGGCGGCGCGCGCCGTAGACATAGCCGACCACCCTCAAGAGCGCGCGCCGCTCGCACCATCGTGCGGAGAGAGAACCCCGAAACCAGCGTCTGAGATGGGTGGGCTAATAACTACCCAGTGACTATGCACAGCAGTTTGGGTGTCGAGGCCGTGCACGCGGTGCGCCGGAGACCGGAGCATCCGCCGCCCGCCGGACGGGGATGCGAGACGAGCAGGCTGCTGGGCCGGCGACCGGCTTGACTCGAGCCTAGTAGAACTCAAGC